AAATATCGAGGCGCCTCCTTAGCTTTCCAAACATCCTCCGTCTCCGCTACACCTCCGGCGATTGAAAACTCAACACCACGGTTTTTATCGTGAGTTTTTTGTTTCATCGTGAAACATTCTCCTCCCTCCCGCCCACTCCTGCCTTTGGCCTTGGCCTAGGGGAGTCTGGCTCCTCTCTCCTCTCCCACCCGGAGGTATTGACTTCGGTCTACCATCCTAGGGTCCTCTCTCTCCCTGAGGGTTGGTCGGTCGGAGGCCCTCCTTGGCTGGCTGGCAGGTGGTGGGATCCCATCCACTACAGTGATGCTATCTCTCCCAGAACAAGGGACTACATGAGAGACGCGGTAAAACACCTGCCCTGCTGGCCTAGGCGGCCGTTGATGACCTTCCTTACTCCCCCTTCCTCCTCCCCCCACGTGTGGTGGGGAGTCCTATCCTCCTCCTGAGTTGGCCTCGCTTAGCCTTCTCACGGTCGGCAACCCCTTAACCACCATCGTCAGATGGCCAGGAATACAGTCGCAGTAGGGGAGAACAGCCAACAGGCTACGGTCGATCTCCCCGTTCTCTTGTTTCCCTAAGAGGCTGCCTAGTCAGACACGAACGCATTTCCGATAGACGTTGTTAAAGGTCTTTGGGTCTACCCCTCCGCTCTCCTCTCCCTACGGTCGGATCGGCTGGCACCCTACCGCTACACCTTCCCCTCCCCCCGGTTATCGCCCATGGCCAGCTGGTCTCCTCCTTCCCTCCATGGTATTGCACTGTCTCCTTGGAGTGGGTCTGGCGGGGGCCCCCTATCTTGGCGCGCTTCGTGCGTCGCTTTCCGCTTGAATGAGTGGACTTGCCCTTCGGGGCCTACGTGGCTTGCTACTAACCTTTCTTTTGTCTTTTTGGGATTTCTCAGCGGGTTTTCCTGGCCCTTCCTGCTTTCTTCTTAGTTAGGATTTCCTTGTTCGTCCATCTAGCCGGGCTTGGGTTTCTTTTCTTTGAGGCGAGATGTGCAGTTGGCTCCATACCAGAGGGGCTTGGGGGATTGGCTTTTTCCTGTGGCGAGAGGAGGGATATGGGTTTTTTGTCGTCATAGCTAGCGCTCCATACGTTTTTTATACCTAAACAAATAATCAATGAGTCAAACAAAAAAAAAGAAAAAAAAAAACATCCTTAGCTTGCCAAAGGGCCCCGAACTCCAACTGGGCCCTGTCTACTGGTCTGAAGGGGAACGCCTACCCCCTGCTCTGGAAGACCCCCAGACCCTCTCCTGCCGTAAGGTTCCATCTGCCTATTGATGGCATAGCTCACTCC